TAGTTGGTGTCAACAATACGTTTAGTCTTTTGTTAATTGTTTATAGGTCATGTAAGTTTGTGTTAATAATACTTATGTTCTTTGTGATTTTATTAATCGATGATTTTTTATTTATTTATGTTTTTGTTGTTGTTTACAGGTCAAAGATTCATGAATTGGCATGGAATAAAGGTAGGATGTCCTATTAACATTGTCAAATGAGTTGTTATTTTGATTCGTTCTTCTAAACTGTAAGCATATCTTCTAACTAGTTTGATATGAAATTGTAAATATATCTCCTAACTATTTTAACAGTTATTATTTGATTGAATAATTATTTTTGTTCGGTCAATCTATTTGAATGATTAATTGTGTTAGTCCCGCCTAACGGTAAGTGTATTCCTTAACAATTTTAATATAAAGATTAATTAATTTTTGTTGATTTCGTTTTCAAGTAACAGTTGTTATACGAATGAATAATTGTTCCTTAACAAATCTTAACATGAAGATCGATTAAATTTTGTTATGTTTGTTTTCAAGGAAATGTGCATGTACTTTACTAAGATCAAATCGAGGATGATCCTATTGTCAGCCGAACTGTGAGTATGTGTCATATCTATATCAGTAGAAACAGTTCAATTGTGTTGAATATGTTTTCTGTAAAAAAATTTGTGTATTTTAATTTGTTATATGAATGATTTATTGTTTATGTTTTGTTGATGTGCGAGTATATATGTTAAATGAATTAATTTTGGCTGATTCCGTTTTCCAATTAATAGGTGTTATTTAAAATATTTCTTATCAGTCCTAACATGATAATCCCTTAAATTTGGGTTAAGTAAACCATTCATTTTATTATCACACACATTTCAGTTTCCACTAAATAATCAATAGTAAATTGACCATAACTTACTTAATAAAAATCCAATTGATGATAGGATTGAATATTTAGAAACTAAACAGACAGAGCTTTAATTTGATATATTATACGTTTAATTTGGATAACTGTAGCCCCCACTGCCAAACCATTCCTTTCATCATCACATACATTTCGGCTTTCACTGAACAGTTAGTAGTAAATTAACCATAACTTGCTCAATAAAAATCCAATTGATGAGATGTTTAAATATTTAGAAACTAGATAAATAGGGATTTAATTTGATATATTATACGCTTAATTTGGATAAGTGTAGCCCCACTTCCGAACCATTCCTTTTATCATCACACACATTTTGGTTTCTCCTGTTTCTCGATTTCTATTGAATAGTCAGTAGTAAATTAGTCATAACTTACTCAATAAATATCTAATTGATGAGAGGTTTGAATAATTGAAAAATAGACAGATAGAGCTTTAATTTTATATATTATACTCTTAATTTGGATAACTTTAGCCCCACTTCCGAACCATTTCTTTTATTATCACACACATTTCAGTTTCTATTGAACAGTCAGTAGTAAATTAACCATAACACTCTCAATAAAAACTCCAATTGATGAGAGGTTTGAATATTTAGAAACTATACATACAGGGCTTTAATTTGGTATATTACATGCTTAATTTGGATAACTTTAGCCCTACTGCTGAACCATTCCTTTTATTATCACACATTTCGGTTTCCACTAAATAATCAATAGTAAGTTGACCATAACTTGCTCAATAAAATCCAATTGATGAGAGGTTTGAATCTTTAGAAACTAGACAGATAGGGATTTAATTTATATATTATACACTTAATTTGGATAAATGTAGCCTCACTTCTAAACCATTCCTTTTATCATCACACACATTTTGGTTTCCCCTATTTCTCAATTTTCACTGAACAATCAGTAGTAAATTGGCCATAACTTATTCAATAAAATTCCAATTGATGAGTAGTTTGAATCTTTGGAAACTTGAAAGATAGAGATTGAATTTGATATATTATATGAAGAATTTGGATAACTATAGACCTGCGGCCAAACCATTCATTTTATTATCACACACATAAAACTAATTGAATTTTAGTGATGACAAAGGAAAACAAATATTGATATGTAGTTTTAATTGTAATTGTTCTATCTTTTTTCGATGATATCTTTTATGTTACATACATATATCATGAAAAGAGTTTGTAGCATAATATAACTAATTTCATTTATTTAACAAATATCAGCTGATGTTTGATGCTAAACTATTTAGCTTTAGTAAACCATTTATTTTATCATCATACATATTTAGATTTCCACTGAATAATTAGTAGTAAATTGACCATAATTTGCTCAATAAAACTCCAATTGATGAGAGGTTTAAATCTTTAGAAACTAGACATATAGAGCTTTAATTTGATATATTATACGCTTAATTTGGATAACTGTAGCCCTACTTTCAAACAATTCATTTTATCATCATACACATTTCGGTTTCCACTGAACAGTCAATAGTAAATTGACCATAACTTTCTATGTAAAAATCCAATTGATGAGCGGGTTGAATATTTAGAAACTATACAGACAGATATTTAATATTGTATATTATATGCTTAATTTGGATAACTTTATCTCCATTGACAAACCATTCTTTTTATCATCACACACATTTCGGTTTCCACTGAATAGTTAATAGTAAATTGACCATAACGTGCTTAATAAAATCAAATTTATGAGAGGTTTGAACCTTTAGAAACTAGACAAACATAGCTTTAATTTTATATATTATACGCTTAATTTGGATAACTTTAGACCCACTTTCGAACCATTCCTTTTTATCATTATACACATTTTGATTTTCCCTATTTCTTAATTTTCACTAAACAATTAGTAGTAAATTAGCCATAACTTGCTTAATAAAAATCCAATTGATGAGCGGTTTAAATCTTTGGAAACTAAAAAGATAGGACTTTAATTTGATATATTATATGATGAATTAGGATAACTATAGACCTGCTGCCGAACCATGCAATTTATCATCATACACATAAAACAAATTCAATCTTAGTGATGATAAAGGAATACAAATATTGATATGTAGTTTTAATTATATTTGTTCTATCTCTTTTTGTTGATTTTTTGATTGATTTTGTTGTTTGATTTGTAGGTTTTGTGGGTTTTATAATTATCGTCTTTCTTTATGATGCTATCATCAAATGTTTTTTTTGCTATAGGTGATGGTCAATTCTAATTGCAGCAAATGGATTTGTGTCACAGGACCTTTATCTTCATGGCTTCTTCAATACTTCAACTAAGTTGCCTTCAGATTATACTGTTGGAGTTGTTGTTGCTTTCTATGTGAATTCTTTTCTTAACATTCTTAATTTTTTTTTTATTTCTAAAATAATAATAATAAAAATAATTCATTTTATCTTCTCAACAATCAAAATCAATTTTTTCCTTTGGCTCTGCAAGTCTCTTGCTTAAAAGTTTACATATTTCTACAAGGTTTCTCTTTCTTTGATTAATTTATAGACTTATCAATAATACCCAGTGTGTTATCTTGCAAATTTTTTTTGCTTTTCTTGACAAAGTTTTAAATTTTGGTAACAAATGTCAAATAATAACATATTTGAGAAGAACCATGATGATATAAACTTTGAGTTCAATTTGTGGATATTTTATTTATTTATTTTTTAATTATCTATTCAATATAAAATGAACTTCAATATAGAAAATATATATTTAAAATGCAAAAAAACCAATAATAATGTAAAAAAATAAGTATAATAAACATACCGCACAACGCAACTTGAAAATAAATATAAGTTACATAAATTGCGGAAGGTCAATATAAATTTTGAGTTTAAATAGTTGATCTTGATAATATTCAGGTGATATTAAATATCATACACGATTCACTATAAAATACTGATAATGAATATCAAAGACATATCTACAAAAATAATATCAATTATACAAGGTGATGATCCTGAAAATATAATTAGACTATATAATATTCAGGTGATTTTCTCAAGGTGGATGAATGATTTAATAACATCTACCTATAATTGATATTAATAATTATACAAGTACAATTATTAATTTTATCTTAACACAACTTTTTATACATATACAATTTATATTTACTTTAAAATTTGTATAATTTAACAATTATTATGTCTTAATCTAATTAATTTATTTTATTATAATAAATTTATTTACAATCTATTTCAAAAACATTGAATAAACATATTCGCGTAACGCGCGAGCCCCATGTCTAGGTTTAGATTATAAATAAGTAAAACACATTTTATACAAACTTAATAAATTAAGATTTTGATATATGTAAAATTAATTATTACCTAATAAATTTTATTCTACTTTTATAGGTTTCTCTATGTTAGTATAATCTCTTTGTCATTTTTCGGGCAATTATAATGTATTGATTAAAAATATTATCCATAAATATTAAAGTTTCAATATTTACCATTATAAAAGGAGTTAAAACATATTAGTATGATTTCTTTATTATTTTTCATGAAATTATAATGTATTGATTAAAAATATTATCAATGAATATTAAAGTTTCAGTCTTTATTTATTTATTTTTAATTTGCCTTCCCTTTACAGGTCAATATTTTTAAGAAGATGCCTAGTCTATCTTATCAGTGGTTAGGAAGGTGGTTGCAATCTGTTCAGATTCTCAGAATTCATTCATTATTAGCTTTCACGACAAGCAAAGAACTTATTATGGGAAAATTTGTAGATCGAAGTGACGGATATGCCCTTCTACCTGAAAGGAAAGCATCTCCATGTCCATGCCCATGGATGCAATTTGCAATGCTTCGGCTTGCCAGAGTTTTTTTTCAACGAGTTGATATGAAAAATTCTAGCTTTGTGATGGCACCTACCACTCATGACACTTCACCTCTTCTCCTTTTTCTTTTTTCTTGTTGAAGATAATTGTTTCACACTCCAAGTAATCATAATCATAATCATAATTATAGCTGACTATTTTTTTGCCCAAATGTTTAACTCTCTTATTTTTATGTTCAGTTTTACATAAATCCAGCATTTAACATTAAACGACAATGCAGTTGATTTCGTTCACGTTAAACTTCAAACTGCTGCAATCTTTTTCGGTTGAACTTGAGCAATTCAACTACCTTTCTCATGGAAGGCCTCTTGTTCGGAAATGTTGAGGTACACAAAAAAGCTACCCTCAAAACCTTCTCAATTTCTTCATAATCAGAGCTTGATGGATTCATTTTTGGATCCACAATTTGCCTCAAGTCTCCCAACCAATTCTCACTTTCGCTTTCCGGAAATGACACAGCAGCCTCTGTAACCCACGTCACTATATCCTTATTCTCACCAAAGAAAGGATCATTTGGCCTTTTACCAGTAATTAGTTCCATCAACACTACACCAAAGCTGTATACATCGCTCTTCTCTGTCACTTTGGATGTGTACGCATACTCTGTCACAATTCAACACACAAATTATATTTCAGAATCAATCAAGACTTCCAGGATTGGAATTCAAGCATCAGGTTGATAACAATGGGCCCATATCTGGAGCCCAATTACCAAACCCATGGTCTTCAACAGTAGATAGATAGATTGCACAATAAGTATTTGAAACCTTATAATTAAAAGGCAAAAAGAAAACAAAAAAGTTTTTTTTCATTTACCTTATATGGGATTGTTTAATTTGGTTGTTTAATATGAGATTCAAAAATAATTTTAAAAACTAAAGTACCCGACTCAAATTGTTGAGTTATATCTTAATATCTTTAACAATAATACTATACATAACAAAAGTTTATATAAAATGTTGTATATAAAGTGATGTGATAGTGTTTTTGTATTGTCATGTTATTTACTATCATTTAATATGTATTTAATAATATTTTAACACATTATTTTATACGAAAGAGTTTGTGTTAATTGTTTGCAAATATAATATTATTCTATTTTTAATATAATAATATTATACTTACGAAAACTTTATACCAAATATTTTTTACCAAACAATAAAGTTAGAATATGATTATATAAATTAATTTGATTTTATAATATGTCAAAAGATTTAAATTAAATAATCTTATCTCATCTAGCGTGTGTGTATACTGTATATAGATAAGATAATATTATTTGTACAAACTTTTATATAAAGAGAGTTTGTATAAACCAATGTGATATATTACAAAGTATGCATATTAAGACTCACATAATTTAATATCATGTTATATGAACTATATCGTGATACTCACATGACACTGATAATAAAACGGAACTCACCAGGCGCAATATAACCATAACTTCCAGCAATACGCGATGTGCCATCATCACCCCCAGCCACATCACCTTGCAACGTCTTGGCCAGCCCAAAATCAGCGATTCGTGGCACCATGTCAGCGTCCAACAATATATTCTTACTCTTCACATCCCTGTGCACGATAGCCGGCACGCAGTCGTGATGCAAATATGCCAACCCTGCAGCAGCGCCTAGTGCTATCGTGAACCTAACAGGCCAATCTAATAAAGATGCGCCACCCTTCTCTCCGTGCAACACGTCACCCAAACTCCCGTTTTGCATATCTTCATACACCAAAATTCTGCCCTCCTCACCACTGCAACACATTAACAATTTTATAATATTTGAATGGCGGATCCGACCCAATGTCTCAATTTCGGAACTGAAAAAGGACTCTGTTTCGGGTTTCCCGAAACCTCCACAAAGTTTCTTAACTGCCACGGTTTGACCCGTTTCGAGCTTCACTCTATAGACGCGACCGGAGATGCCTTCCCCTATGAGGTTCTCTTCTTTTAAGTAGGAGCATATGTCTTCTTCGCTGAACCCGACCCGTTGATATGTGGTTACTTTCCACGGGCGTTTGGGTTTAGAAATAAATTTGGATTTGTTTTTGAAGAACCAAAAGAGAAACCCGAGGAGAAGTATTGCACAAATGGCAACAATCGCAACTAGGTACGGAATTCCCCGTTCGGTTCCGGGGCATGGATGGAGCGGTTTTAAACCCGGGCTGCACAGATTTGGGTTACCCAATAAACTAGAAATATATAACTGACGATCGAAACCTGAAGGCACCTTACCGGATAATCTGTTATTTGAAATATTGAACTGATCGAGCTGCAACTTGGTTAACTCCACCGGGATTTTGCCTGTCAACAAATTATTGGAGAGATCCAAATACGTTAACACCGGTGAATTTCCCAGCTCCGGTGGAATATTACCTGTGAACTGATTGATGGCCAGATTCAACTCAGTCAAAGCGGTCAACAAATTCAATTTCCTGGGTAATTTCCCGGAGAATTTGTTATCTTGCAAATTAAGATTCTGTAAGTTGTTCATTTGGGTTATACACGAAGGCAGTGGACCGAAGAGATGGTTTTGATTAAATTCCATGACTTGCAGTTGATGCAAGCTGCATATTTCTGAAGGAATTTCGCCGCTGAAGTTGTTAGCCTTGATGCTAATACTACGGAGTTTGCGAGCCGCAGAAATTGAAGGAGAGATTGAACCTTCAAAGCTGTTATTAAACATTTCAAAACGTTTCATTTCGGGGAGACCCCAGAACTTGGTAGGTATTTTACCGGAGAGTTGGTTGTTGCTAAAACGCAGATAAGTCAGCGTTTTGCAGTCCCCGTAGGATTCTGGAATTTTTCCTGAGAACCGATTGTTGAATATCACAATGGATTGAAGCTTGTTTCTGAAACAGAGATACCGAGGTAAGTCACCCGTAAAATCATTAGTTGAAACATCGAAGTTTGTTAAATCGGAGTTTCTTCCAAGATTTTCTGGTAACTTTCCGGTGAAACTGTTATTGTACAGCTTTAGGCTTCGTAAATTCGGATTTGAAGATAACGTTTCCGGAATTTCCCCTGTGAAGAAATTGTCGTTTAGATGAAATGATTCAAGCCTCAAAGCAGCGACATTCACAGGTATATTTCCAGTGAGATTGTTCTGTGAGACATCAAATCTCCGCAGAGTGGTTAAACTGGCTAAACTTGGAGGTAATTCACCGGATAATTGGTTCCTATAGAGCTCAATTTGCTCTATACTTGTCAACAGAGAAATGCTGTCAGGAATTTTCCCGGATAAAAAATTTACAGCCAAATCGAAATTTTTTAAATGTACAAACTTTCCTACAATTTCCGGTATTTCGCCTGTGAGATTCGATTGAGTTAACCATAAAAATTCAAGCTTTAATAGATTTCCAATACTAGAAGGTAATGGACCTGGCTTGTAAGAATTATATCCGATCTCCAAGTGCGTCAACTCAATAAGGTTGCCTATAAACGAAGGAAATGAACCACTGAGCGAGTTCTGGGTAAGTCTAAGCGCTTTTAACGCCCGAAACTGACCGAAACTGTCCGGGATTTCTCCCGTGAAGATGTTGTTAGAGAGATCAAGAACTAATAAGTTATCAAATCCCGGAGAGAAATGCGGTAACTTGCCAGTGAAATAGTTGTCGGCGAGTTCCAAGACTTGTAGTTGAGAGCAAGGAGAGACAGTGCGATCAGAAAGAGTACCGTTGAGGGAATTGTCTGATAAAGAGAGGTTTCGGAGAGTCCGTATTCCACAGAACCCATTCGGAAAGCCGCCCGAGATGCCAAACCCGTTTAGATTAATACCAACTATAGACTGTTTCTGAGCATCACAAGTGATTCCAGACCAATTGCATGGACCGTGGTTGGCCCTAAGAACCCAGTTGTTGATCTTTCTATCCGGGTCGACAATCTGGTCTTTCTTGACCCGAATTAAGATCTCCGAGTCCCCATTGAGAGAGAGCACCACAGAAAAACAAAACAAGAATAAAAATGAGACAAAGAGAACCGACTGGAGTGGGATACTTGAAAGTCGCATTCCACAACGAGAGAAATGAGAAAAAAGAAATGGAAGGAAACTCAAAACTCTGTAGAGGAATGATAACTATCAGGTTAACTAATAAGAATTGAATTTTTTCAATAAAAAAAAAGACTTTTCAATTTCAATTTCAACGCGTTTCATGATGGAAGTGGTGAAATGTGCGAGGGAATTTAAGATGGATAGCCAGCCATAGGGCGTGTGCATAAAGAGAGAGCGCAATATTTTCAAAAGGTTCACATGCAAAGTGCTGTGAAACTGAGGGGCACTGAGGGGCACTGGTAGGTGTTGTGTAATTGGCTCAATCCTTGTGGGATTATGTGTTGTAAAGCCATTGATTAGCCAGGCATAATGCGGGAAACGGAGCGCGTTACTATTGCAGGCTAAGAGTGCAACGGAAGGACGTGAAATTTGAGTGGTTTTGTAACTTGGGCTGTGCCATTTTTGGGAAAGAGACAAACAGTTTTTTCAGTTTTGGATTAGTGAGTTGAGAGTACTAAGTAACGTTTTGGTTATTATAATTGATTAGGTTTGGTTTGTGTTATTGCGTAAACTTGAGAGCATATTTCGTTAGTTGCATTCTAAATTTGATGATTTACTGTGTGGTTTGGGGGGAATGGATTTGTATTTGCATTGCGGTTAAAATTCATTGAATGAACATGATAAGAGTTTATAGTATGTAGTTGAAATGAGAAAAGAAAAAGGGAGAATCCATTTATTCTTTTAAATTCATTGATGAATGGAATCCAACTTTTCCCCTCTAATACGGAAAGACTTATGAGTCATGGACTTTAATGAGAGACTTAAGAATTAAGATTGAGTCGGCCTTGTGATAAAAAGAAACGAAATCCGAAATGGACTGAACCAGTTGGCCACTTCAATCCAAAGGCAATTAAAATTGGACAAGAACATAATATGTAGTTGGATAGAAATCTATTGATTCAATAAACCAATCAAGCGAATATGCAAACGAGAACAGCTGAGCAGTAGCCCACTGACATGACTTCTTGCTAACAGTATTCATAACCCTTTCAATTACATGTTGATTAAAAATTGGATCTAACAGGTTAAAATGACTCCAAACACAAGCTGGAATTGGATTAAAAATTATGGACTTGCACAACAAATTAAACCTCACATTAGCTGGACAAAGCTCTATTCTTAAAGCTGCAGCGAAAATATAGGTTGAATACCAACGGGAGGCATAGAAATTCACATATATTTGAACATTGAACTACCTTATTAATCGAAGCAGAGTCTGCGTTGGCGTGAAGAAACCCTAGATTGGGGCAAGAGGTTGAAGAAATTACGGTCCTCGATACCCTTTGTAAATTTCTAATATTAGAATAGAAGTTACGTGCGAATGCAAAATCCTCACATTCTCCTGAAATTTGAATGGAGCAATGGGAAATGTGTAGCCTGTAACCCAAGGCCCAAAGCCGAACAAAAAATTTAGGCCCTTTGATTATCGAAATGAACAGTGGCAGAACATATTTTATGTTTTGTGTATTTGAAGTTTGAACTATCCAAAGATTATGTGCCTAATCGTAATGATGGTCAGCATAATGTGGTTTCAGAATATGCTTTGTCAAATATTATAACCAGAATATTTGCATTGTAATTTCGCCACTAATTAAATGGATGGAATGACAAAGGCAAGTGTTGATACAGAAATCTGCACTAACTAAAGAATTCTGATTGACCTTGTCGGAACCGGAATGGATGTGTGCATGATTTAATGAAAATTAGCAATGAAAAAAAAAATCATAAATAAGAACACAAGACAATTTTTAAAGTGGTTCGGCAAGTTAGAACTTGAGCCTACGTCCATTGTTATCTTCTTGCTTTTGAGAGCTTACAAAGAATAGTATAATTCCTAGGAAAATTTGCTTAGAACAATTCCCCAACCCCCCTGAAAACAAGTTATGATGCGTTCATATAGCACTCATTTACATGATAGAGTTGAGATAAGATTCAAATACGTATGATTAGAAAATTGCATGATCTTCGGCTACCTTAGTTGGAATCTAAGTCAATCTGAATATCATTATTCCAAATTAAGCTAATCTAAATATCTTCTCTCCTAATAAGGAATTATCCTCTCCGGATTTCATGCACAACAATAGCGTCCTAGTTTTTGATCTGGATGGCTGTTGCACCATAAGCTGTAGTCTCGAACTAAAGAACTTGAGTTATGCCTGGCGCGATCTAAAAGATTTGAAAGATCTTGAACACGTGATCTCAAGCGAATCAGCGAGCTTATGAGCATAATTAGGGAGCATAAAAAGCTCGATCTGAGAATAGAAAGAGCTCGATCAGAGAGCACAAAGAGCTCGATCTGAAAGTGCGAGGAGTTTGACTAGAAAGCGCGGAAAGCTTTATCTGAGAGCATAGCTCGATCAAAAAGCTTGAAGAGCTTGATCTGAGAGCATTGCTAGATCAGAAAGCTTGGAGAGCTTGATCTAAGAGCATTACTCGATCAGAAAGCATGGAGAGCTTGATCTGAGAGCATAGCTCGTTCACAAAGCATGGAAAGCTTGATCTGAGAGCATTGCTCGATCACAAAGCATGGAGAGCTTGATATGAAAGCTTAACTTGATCAGAAAGAATGAAGAGCTTGATCTTAGAGCATAGCTTGATCAGAAAGTATGAAAAGCTTGATCTAAGAGCATAGCTCGATCAAAAAGTGTAGAGAGATTGATCTAAGAGTATAGCTCGATTAGAAAGCATGGAGAGATTGATATGAGAGCATAGCTCAATCAAAAAGCATGGAGAGCTTGATCTAAGAGCATAGCTCGATCAGAAAGCATAGAGAGCTTGATCTGAGAGCATTGCTCGATTAGAAAGCTTGGAGAGCTTGATCTGAGAGCATAACTCGATCAGAAAGCATGGAAAGCTTGATTTGAGAGCGTAGCTCAATCAAAAAGCATGGAGAGCTCGATCTGAGAGTATAGCTCGATTAGAAAGCATGGAGATCTGGGTGCGCGATCTGAAGCTGAAGATATGGATGCGCGATCTGAGAGATCTTGTCGCACGATCTAAAATAGGCTTCAATATCTTGACAATAACTTGAGCTGTAGACCTTAGATTTGGATGATTCTTAAACCGTTGGAAAGCTTACTCGAAGATCTACAACTCTTATGTTTACCACTTTGCTAGAATCATACTTTATAATGCTCAATACTCCCCATCTGTCAGTGGCTTCGATTCTAAAGTTTGATTTGGTGACATGGATTGTAGCCATGGCCGATTTTTTTGTAGTTGGAAGATGGAAAAGAAACTGTTGGAAAACAGAGAAAGCTCAAAGTGTCCAAGTTCTTCCTTCTAGTACCAAAATGTTGATACATAAATCTACACCAACCAAAGAATTCTGATTGACCCTGCCAGAACCGAAATAGATGTGCGCGTGATTTAATGAAAATCAGCAATGAACAAAAAAGAAAGAATCATAAATAAGAATATAAGACAATTTTTAAAGTGGTTCGGCAAGTTAGAACTTGAGCCTACGTCCACTGTTATCTTCTTGCTTTTGAGAGCTTACAAAAAATAGTATAATTCCTAGGAAAATTTGCTTAGAACAATTCTCCAACGCCTTTGAAAACAAGTTATGATGGGTTTATATAGCACCCATTTACATGATAAAGTTGAGATAAGATTTAAATACGTAGGATTCGAAAGTTGCATGATCTTCGGCTACCTTAGTTGGAATCTAAGTCAATTTGAATATCATTATTCCAAATTGAGCCAATCTAAATATCTTTTCTCCTAATAAGGAATTATCCTCTTCGGATTTCACGCACAATAATAAGGTTATACAAACTCATGATTTTATATATATATACCTTATTTGTATAACATTATGGTTTATAGAAATTATTCAAAGTGAAAAGAAATAGAGTTACATTACATCCATTAGTTTATGTGTTTTTTAATTTAAAATTTCTAATAATTTATTAAATTATCAATATTTTAAAAAAATAAATGGTAAAATTACACGATAAAATCAATAACTATTTAATATCATTACTATAGGAAAAATTAAATTTTACGACTATCATGTAGTTCTTGAATTGTGTTTTAAGTTTTCCATTAAAATTACACTAGTGGCATGCAGCTCATCATGTAGTTCAGGCGACTGTTGGCTGCCGTCCAGCGGTGGTGACCGACAGTTGGCTGTCCTTTTGGGTGGCTAGGGTGCTTTAGTTAATTTTTAAATTTTTATTGTGGGGGTGTTTAGCTAACTTAACAAATGTAGGGGGTTAAAAAAATAATCTAAATATTTTCAAAAAATGTACCAAACAACTATTTTATCTTAAAAACCCTTTTAAAAAAATGTACCAAACAACTATTCAACATTTTCTTCAACTCTAATATAATTTTCAAATATTTTACCAAACATATTTTCATATTCAAATCTAATTCAATTTGATTCAACTCAACTCAACTTAAAACACCTTTTCATAGTAATATTTTTCAAAAAGTGTAACAATCAGGCCCTTAAGTATTTAACATAATGAGTTAATTACACATACCTCCCTTGAGGTTTCAACATTTTATGTCGCATAGAAAAGATGATTAAGTTAATACAAACACCTCATTCTTTTAAATTCTATTAGGGCCCGTCAAGGTTATTTTCTTACACCCCTCCAACCCAAAAAATTGACAATTAACCCTATAATTAGCTACTTACACCTCTATTGTCAATTTTTGGTGTTGAAATTAGCTAGGGGAGGGAAAAAAGACCTTATGTGTTAAATCAAGAAGAATTATAAATTAAATATTTCATTATAATAAAAAATGTTTAGATTTTTTTTAAATCAAATATATTTATAATTTAATATTATCTTATTGTTGAACCACCATTCTTAGATCATCGGAACCATGATATTTAAAAGAAAAAAATTTCTAAATTGACAATAATGGGTGTAAGTGACTAATTGGGGGGGGGGGGGGGGGGGGTTAAATATAGATTCTGTATGTTTGAGGAAGTGTAAGGGAAA